AATGGCTATGTTGCTGGACTCCCATGTAGTGGACCACGATTCGACTCCCAGATCTGGTGGCTTAAACTGACGCTGGATACGTGTGCGAGCATGTCCAAGATCCTAAGAGTTCGAGAATGGAGGAGAAGGGATTGTGGCATTGCCATTCATCATGGGGTGATTTCTCGCTTTCTATCTCTCTGTCTTTGTCTTTCCGGGAGCACATGCGCCCTACAGCAAAAACCTCTCTTAAAAAAAAAAAAAAAGAATTATGAGAAACCAAGAAAATACCTTCCCCAAGGAAAAAGAACGACCCTTCATCATCCACAGACAGTACAATGGAACTCATAGAAATATCCAATAAAGAATTCAGAATAATCATAATGACAAAACTAAACAACATCCAAAAGATGAGAGATAATGAACTCCAGAGGGTGCAAGAGAAAAGAGAGAATGAGTTCCAGGAGGTGAGGAAGTTCTTGCACAATTTGAAAGAAGTACACACCATAGAAAAGAATCAAATGGAGCTGTTAGGGATGAAGGCTGTAGTACAGGAAATCAAAACTCCCTCAAAAGTATTAAAAGCAGATTAGAGCATGCAGAAGATCGAATCTCAGATGTTGAAGACACAGCCTCTGACCTGGAAAAAAAATCACCAAAAAGACTGAAAAAATAATGCCCAAGAATGAGCATAACATAGGAGAAATACTAGATACCACTGAGCACTGAAACATCTGGATCATCAGTATCCCAGAAGGTGAAGAAACTAACAAGGTCATTGACAATCCATTCCATGAAATCCTGGAAGAAAACTTCCCAAACTTAGAGAGGCATTCAAATATCCAGACCCTGGAAATACAAAGGACTCTCATTTTTTAACCCTATAAAATAATAAACCTGAGGCCAGTTCGAGGTCATGGCTTTCTCCATCAGAGAATTCGGGCCCACTCAATCCTTGCTTTCTATACTTGTAAGTCTTTGTGTGTTTATTTTCACATTTATTTCTAATCCACAGGCCCCATCCCCTACTCAGAAAAACATATTCTGCTGAGTGGGTCCTGGCACGTGAGCCTTAGAGATGTAATGGTTTGACTCAAACAATCTCAGTGCCCTCTAATATTAGAATAGGTCATCCTCACAAGCTTTCAGAATTGACAGGGAATAAAGATTACCTGGTATATCTCCTATTTAGTAAAGAAATTGAAGCTCAGAGAACCCAAATGGCTTGTGAGTACTACACATCTATATTGTGTCAGAGCTGAGACTAGAACTTAGAGTACCAGAGTTTTATTTTCCGTTTGATGTTTTTATGACTACTTGACCAATTAAATACATGGAAGACAAATAGTGGCATAGATTTAATCCGAAGATGTACAGCTAATTCAAAGAACAGAGTTGGAACTTCAAAAGGAAGGACATTACTTTAGACATTATGGATCAGAAGAGTAAAATTTACTCAATATAGACATTTGCTCATAGGAAATGATCTTTATGTAGGGTAAGATTATTTTGTCTGGGACAAAACCAAATAGTTATATTTAAAAGATTGTACTTTTTGACAGAATTTTTATTTCTACATAAAGAGGTAAGATGGAAACGGTTCTTTGTTTGGCCAGACAGATCACTAGAAATAATTGGAGCAATTATTGAGTGATCCACACAGTAACCTGACCCTCTTCATACCGAAATAATGATCCTCTTATACCAAAGGACTTTGCCCTTGACTGAAGAAAGCTACCTTGTCTATGGCCACAGCCATTTCTCAAGTGATTGATGGACTTCCCATTCCCCAGTTTAGGACAACTCCAAAGTGCCATGCAAACCTCAGAGTTTCCTGATTAGCTAAGGTCTTTGCTGTAACCACGTCAGATTCCATTTTCTTTCTCTCCGAACTTGCTTCTGGCATTCTGCCTCATGTGTTAGTCCTGAGAATACTTTCCCATTTACTTTCCACCTGCCAATCAACCCAGGGAAACAAACAACAAATAGCTTAAGGCAAGCATTTCCACTTAACATGCCATCTACTACAAATGGCTTTTAGACTATTAAATGGTGAAGCCCTGTGCTCTTCCTGAGTTTGCTGCTGCAGTGGGATGTGGAAAGAGTCCAGAGGAGGATCAGAGTTTCCATGCCTATATACAGTTGGAGTGTTCCTTAGACTCCGAGGAACTAGTGGCATTGCCTGAGAGAACTTCTCATCTCCTCCCATGAGCCTACCATTCCCAAAGACTACAAATTTCCCATGAGGGTACAATCTCAAAGAGGGGAAAATACAGAGCAATTTAGAACCTGCAAAAGACACAATACCAAGTGGCCAAAGACTTTGCAGAACACTTCATAGGGACACAAAGTTTCCCTTAGCAATCAACTCATAAAGATTTACTAGTTAATTTTTATAGTTATCCCCTAGTGGAGTTTATTAAGTGCTATACTAACTTTTACCCATTTGATCCAATGTAATCTTCAAAATAGCCTATATTGTAGCACAACGACTAAGACAATGTTAAAAGTAAAGACATAGAGACTTTAAAAGAATATTTTGCTATATAGCTAGTGGGGGGAGGGAACAAAACTTAAACTCTGAAATCTTATTTCAGACTCCAAAGTTCTGAAATGTATCAATCTAGTATTTAATCTTCCTACTTTTAGAGAACTATTCTTTCATAATTTAAGGACAAAGCAACTTTAGAGTTAATAGTGCTTCTAAAATAAGATGTGACCAACACCAAGCAAACAGAGTAAATCAAGAGCCCACAGAAAAAGGTCATCTTTGAGATCTAGTGAAAAATGGTCATCAGTTTCCTAGTGAAGAGGAGATGGAGGCCACAATGCTTACTCTGAAGTATAGTTTTTTATAATCCTAGCTGGAATGAAGTAAACTTACATTACACAGTTTGCGTTCAGACATTCACAGCAAAACCTCTGGTTGTTTAAAACGAGTACCAAGATAAAGAATTCCTGGGGCCAGATGATGGCACAGTAGTGAATCTGGTGCTCTCAGAGGCTGGCCCACATGGCAGGGTTCCAGATTCACACCCAGAGACCTCCCTGAAGACTAAGTACAGCAACACACTCGTGATCATGATCCTAGACTACAGTTCAAGTCCTGGACCTGGAGACTTGATGCTCATGCCTGCCATGTTTGTGTGTGCCCAAAATCCTGAGAGGAGAATAGAGAAGAAGGGATTGTGGTGTGGGCATCCCCACTAAGGGGCTGATTTCTTGCTTTCTGTCTCTCTCTCTCTCTCTTTCCAGCAAGTACATTCTCCCTATAGCAAAAATCTCCCTTTAAAAATAATTTTAAAATAAAAATAAAATAAAATAGAATTTGTAAAATTATATTTCAGCTCTACTTCTGAATTTTTATACATGGAATTGTCACAGAATGGTAATTCATAATTGAAAACTGTATAATATATTTCATTTACAAACAGGAACACAGATAAAATTATTGCCCTGATATGCATGCTGGGAAATTTCTAAATAAATAAATGCATTTTAAAATTAACCTTTAAGAAAGGAACTTTCATTTTACTCTTGTGAATGATGTTAAAATAATGGCCTATAGCCAGTATTTTAATTCTAGGTCCTCTTTGTTCTTAAAACTATCACTTAGAGGCAATGTATTCAAAGCAGGTGCTGCCCTGGTCTGTAAAGTATTTTACACTATTCGCTCGGGGAGCAAAGCTGGGGCTGCCCCTCTGCCATTTGGACTGCAAGGAATTAATGACATTACCAAAGAGGTTTCTCATCCTGTCCCATGTCCATTGCATTCACAGGGGGCCATAAGATTCCCAAGGAGATTCAGTTCTCAAAAGAGAAAGTAGATAACATGGGGCCAGGATTAGATAACAAGTTCTCCTGTGATTGAAACAAAAACTTTCATCTCAGAAATTGTGTTATCTGATACTTTTTAGGATCCATAATCTCAAGGAAAAAAGAGTTTCCAATGAATTAGTAATGGCTGGAGACTCAACACACTGCAGCAATTTTCTCTGCAGTCGTTGTTTCTTTTATAGTCACACTTGATTAGTATTTGAAATTTGGAGGAATTGCAATATGCATGGTTTTCAAAGCCCTTTACAGAATTTCATTTTTATCACTCGGAGAGAGTCAATGAAAAGGTAATAAGAAAAGCTCTATGGGATATTTTTATAGGAGTGTCAGAAGCCAGTAAGCTAACTACATGAAAGAATCCAGATTGTACAGACAGGGTTTGGAGCAGAAACACTTCAGAGACTTTATATCTAGTATTTTGACTTTTACATGTCCTTGGAGAAAAAAGTATGCTAGCTAAAAAACCAAATAAGGAGGGGGAAAGGAACAAACCGTATGCTTAAGAATAATTGCAGTTTCAATTTTCTTACAAACTAAATGTGAATTTTCAAAGATAAAGTGTAATAGAAATTGAGCTGGTTTGGTGTGTCTAAAATATTGCCAAGAAAGAGAATTCTTATTTCCCTTGCTAACTCATCCCAGATTTCTACCATATGGAAGTTAGTCTGGGTAGCTTAATTGAATACTATCAACTCCTCCATGAGCCCATTTGCTTTTGTTTTGCCCTCAATAGAAATGAAAAATATCACCATCTCTATAAACTAAACCATCATTATTCAAGTTTGTATTTGATTACTTATCTGACACTTCTGTAAATTAAAAAAAAATCTCTTATTTTAACCTCTTCTCAAGTCATTCATTCTTATCGATTCTTCTCAGAAAAATATCAAAACAGCATTATGACAAAACAAGCAATCTTAAAACACTTCCGTGGCCACAAAAACCATTAATGAAGAAAAGTATTTAATAATGGAAAACCATGAATAATTCTTTTATTACTGTGTTTCATATCATGTTGTACTTGAAACTTGATTTCAATTAGATTTACAAGGCAGGGTGGTCCTGTTGACTGAAGCATCTATTTCAAACAAAATGACAATAAGAATCTGCATATGGTGCCTTTGTCAAGCAGGTGTTTGAAACCACTATGCTCTGGCTGGACTGAGCTGTGGCCACACTCATACCTGCCGCTTCAGGGGCCTCGAGCTTTCTGTTCTCTCTTCTCACACCAGCCAAATCGTTCTGACAGCCAACTGGCAGTTGTGAATCCAGGCCAGTTTGATTCGAGTGATGTTTCTTGGCTATGTCTATGTGGTGACTCTGAAATGACACAGGCCAAAGTGATTGATTTCACAGGTAAATTATCAACCCAAAATAAATGCTTACCCGAGATATGGCAAGGATACATATACGTCATGGGGCAAGTCATTTCTGTATGCCTGAAACAGAACATTCTACAAGTCAAAGCACGTTACAAACAAGTTACATATTGATCAGTATAGCTTGGTAATCTAGGTGCAGAATGTTTGACGCAAGCTAGGTAAGTAGAGTAAGAAGATGTTTTAGGCACAGAGAATAATCTGCGATTACTTTCTTCTTGGGAAGCTTATAAGATATTTTCATGTAGAACATTTTTACTCAGTTTTTGTTCTTAGAGTTAAATAATTCAACATTTCATTGTATATTACATAATTACATTTTGTATAATAAAGAGCAAATTTCATTTCTGTATTATCTATACTCTTTATGCCAAAAAATTATATCATTAACTCTGAAGTAATCTATAATTTTAATAGCATTATGCAAAGTTGACAAAGTTCCTCTAGTCAATTTAACAATAAAAATTCTTTATAACAATAAATTATGAAGGCACAGAATCAATGGCCTATAACCCATCTCACAGATAAGAGCTGTCACCAAGTTTGATGTTGTACTGACACATTACTCATGTCAAAAAAATCATCAGATAGGAGCCCAAATCGAAGACCTAAATAGGACATTAAATTTTCAGCACTTTGCTTCATACCGAATTCAGACTAGAAGTTTATCAGTTTAAATGCAATTACAAAATAGTTGAAGATTCACAAAGTGGAAATCAGTTCATAAAATTTGGCTACCCACACTAGCATTTTGGCTCACTAAGGGACGGGATAATGAACAACTTTTCACTGAAGTTCCTCCTACAGACTGTGTATAGTGCTGCATTCATTTTTAGGGTGGACTTGTAGAAAAAAAAAAAAGCGGCTTTTAAAGCTTGAACAGAACCAATAAGACCTGAGGGTCTAGCAGTCCAGCATGATGAAAGTAATTCACCCAGGCTAACAAAGTGAACAGTGCCACGTCTCGGGGATGTGTCTCCTGACCCTTACTCCAGTGCTCTTCATGGCATTCTGTGATTGCTTTTGGTTTTCAATGATGTGGACCGGTTGCTCTGGTGGCACCACTCTTCATCCCTCTCTCTACCTGCAACCTTTCCTTTTAAAAAATAAATAAATAAATAAAATTAAGATGTTTTTGCTACAGGGCATATATGCTTGCTGTAGAGACAGAGAGACAGAATGTGAGAAATCACCCTCTGGGGGATGGCCACACTGCAATCTCTTCTTCTCCAGTCTTCTTTCAGGATTTTGGCTACACATGCACATGTATCCACCTTGTGTTTCAAGTCTCTGGGTCCGGGTCACAAACCATGGTAGGCCATGTTGATAGACCAGTGACATAACCATTACCATCTGCTGGTCCCTATCTGCATCCTTTCCATGCAATTTCTTAGTGCCCTCCTACTCTGAGTTTCAACTTGTCCTTTCAGCTTCTGCTGGAACAACAGGATAGTAATGCAAACAGAGGCTTGAAATCTGCTTGCACCGTTGGTTCTGCTCATTATGGTACCTCCTCTATGCCACGAGAGTATGCTTAGAATTATACTGCCGGAGGCTGAGCATGAGATGGAGCAGAGTAAGTTACCCAAGTGTACAAGCTGAGGAAACCAACCGCCAGAAAAGCCCCCAATATTTGAGCAAAACCAACCAGGGTCACCTTAAACCAACTCAGATCAGTTGAACCCATAGCTTCGTGAACTAAGTAAATGTGGTTTTGAATAAGGTCATTACGGTTTTCTGGTTAAAACACTATCTAAAGCATTGTCTGATGATAAAGAACTGGTATATTCAACAATTATTTATAGCATTCCAGACACTGAGTGTAGTGTGAGAATACATACATAAATATGGCTCAGACTAAAACTTAACAGTTCTACACAATTTCTCAAATTATTTAAGTGGAGATTTAAAATAGAGTATGGTAAGTCATTTGTAACTATTAGGTTGTCAGAAAAGTCATGATGTATTTTCCATGCAAAAATGCATCATGACTTTTCTGATAACCCAATAATTCCCAAATTCATTTTCTAATGACAAAATATGGGATTCTGATAACACTACCAGAGATGACTGAAAAGATCAGACGTTGAATGTTAGTTTTTCATTTGCCAGAGGGTGTATGTGCTCCTTGAAGAGAAAAAGATAGATGAGAGAGAGAGAGTGAGAGAGCGAGAGAGAGAGATCACTCCCATGGAGGATTGTCACATCATAATCCCTTCTCCTTCATTTTTCCCTCCTTTTCAGATTTTGGGCATACACAAACACACATAATAGTGTTCTTTATAAGTTGCTGTGTCCAAGACTTAAGCCCTATAGTCAGCCATGTGACATCCAGCCACCTTAACCAGCAAGCCACTGGCTGGCCCTGAATGTTAATATTAACTGGAACTAAACCACCGTTCTTGTTGATGTTTGACTCTTCTACAGCCGACAAAAACATAAGTCTGTAATACAGTATAAATTTTTGAAATTTTTGTCAGGCCTATATTATCACATAGCTTGTGGAAAGAAGCAGCTTCAACTGGCCTCTAAAGACTTGCCTGATTTTAAATGAGATATCTTTAGAAAATATATTATTATCTCAAGTAATTAGATGAGTATTAAACCAGTTCTTCAGCACTGAGCAATAAGCCAAATTTAGAAATTGATATAGTTTTATTCTTTTTCATACTAAATTCAAATGATAATATTACAACACTGAGGGGTGAGTTTAAGAGTTTATGCAAATTACATATATTATATCCCAGACAGACAAGAAAAAATGCTAAATTTGAAAAAAAAAATCCTTTAACCTGAAACCTGTGTTATAAGAGCCTGAAGAGAAAATAACCAATTGACTACAATGGGTCACTTACCTAAAGGCCCTGTAATTCCCAGTACAAAGTCCTGGAATAATGGACATTTTCTAAGCATATTAGCATTTCAGTAACTAAGAACTCCAATTTTCTGGAGGCAGTCCTCACACTGGAGTCTCCTCTAGTCAACTTCTATAAGATTTTCCAACCTTTCTTTTGCTTTCTTGATTACAGCCAGGATCCTGTTCCCAGATGCTCACCTAAAGGGAGGTGGACGTGGGACCAGCAGGTGGGACCAGCAGGTGGCACGGAGGTTAAGGCGCTGGACTCCTGCCTGGCTGACTATGGTTCTAGGTGTCTATTGGCAGCCTGAAAATCATGCTGGATGTGTGTGTGTGTGTGTGTGTGTGTGTGTGTGTGTGTGCATGCCCAAAACCCTGAGAGCAGAATGAAGGAGAAGGGATTGTGGCATGGCCAACCCCATTTGGGAGTACTTTCTCACTTTCCTTCTCTGTCTCTCTGATAAGTGCACCACTCTCTATGGCAAAAACCTGAAAAAAATAAAAAAGGAGCTAGATGTCTCTTAAGTAACTGAACCTGTCACACTTCATTCTTATTTACTCAGTGCCTCCTTCTAGTTCTCAGGATCCCCACATTATACCCTGGCATTTATTTTCTGCTACAATAAAATTCCTACATTTTTCATTGCCCAAATGCCCTCCATTAAGGTTCAACTCTCTCCCTTCTCTTTCCTCTTTCTTACCTCTCAAATTCTTCCACTCTGACTTGAGAACTTTGCTCCATGATTTGCTGACTTCACAACATACTGAACTTTTTTTTTTCAGAATATTGTCTCTACCTTCCTACCTAAAGTAAATCGCACCCTTCACTGAAGACATCAGTGTTGCAGATGATGATGGCCATTTATTTCTTCACGGTCCACTTATTCTCAGGTTGACATGATGTCCTTGCCTTGGGTGATGCCAATTGCATCTTACCTCCTTGCAGAAACTCCCCTGCTGCTCTGATATTCCCACTGCCCAGCTCTGTACCTTCTCCCTTCGTGTTGCTATCATCAAACCACCAGGAAACTTTCATTAACAGATTTTGGCACCTGGACTAGTGGGTAGCCCTGATCCTGGATGATATCCATAGCTGCACAAACATGCCCATCAACAGCCCAGCTGAATGTTCTTATTATAAATGAATTTTTCATTTCTCTATTTCAGCCTTCCAGCATCACATATGAAATCTGTCATCACCTGAAACGGTTCTCACCTCCAAAATTATTAAACATCTTCCTCTGTCACCTAATCTATTCTCAAATTTATTTTCTCCCCTCCAACCAATTCTCCCATCTCCAAGACTACTTTCCCTATGACTTTGGTCAGGACTACTCTTGGACCTGCCTCACTGGGACCAGGGATCCACTAATCCCCCTACTCTCTCTACATGAATTAATCCCATATTTTTTCCCCTTTATTCACTACTCAGCATCCATTCTCATTCAAAAACTTCACTTTATCCAGGAGCTCTTTAAACTTTATATTGTTTAATCCATCAGCAGCACAGGATTCATCTAGTCTCCCCCTCTCTTTAGTTCCTGATAGCCCCTTACACTCCGAGTACTCACTATTAGTCTCCTTTGCTGGACTATCCTTCTTTACCTGAACACATTCTCAAGAAATTCTCAAGGTGTTCTTATTGACCCAGATTTCTTTTCACGTTTTAAATCACTCCTAGGTAATTCCAATAATCACATTTAATTTACCTTCTGTATGTTTATGAGTCAGGGCGGCAGTGGAGATTTGTAAAGTGAGATAAGTTTGGAGAGACAGGGGATTTCACATATTAGTAAGCATGTGGAACCCAGTTCTAATGTCCGTTCAGCCCCACAATCCCACCACTCTTTCTTCTTGTCTTAAGCATTGGTTAGTCTGTTACATAGAACATCAGATCTCTTTTCTCCCTAATTTTACTAAGTCTGGAATTCCAGTTTTTCCTCACACTCTTTTCTAGTCTTTGAGCATCTCTTACTTCTGCTAGGATGTGATTTTCACAATTATAACTAAATAACACCTGGCTTAGTGTTTAAAGTCTGTCTCTTCGGTTAAAATATAAATCCCCTGAGAGTAAGAATCATGCT